GGCCCGAGCTCTCAGCTCCTTACCTCCCTCAGACTTCATCAGCCAACGGACTCGCTCCTCTATTTCATCTGACACCACTATCCCGTTCTTATAACCCCTCATTTCCACAGCAAGTTTTGCCTCCTCAACCAAGAACACCTTGTTCATCCTCTGCTCCGCGTAAAAGGGCCACGCGATCATCGCCACTCCGGCCACAATCGACTCCAGTGCTGAGTTCCACCCGCAGTGAGTCACGAATCCTCCAACCGCCGGGTGTCTCAACACGGCCACCTGCGGCGCCCACGATTGCACGACCAATCCCCTCCCTTTTGTCCGCTCTAGAAAACCCTCAGGAAGAACCGCCTCCAGATCCTGTTCCTTTTTTGTTAACACCGTAATCCCACTGGCCGCAGCCGCCGGCTGTGAGCGCCGCACAACCCATAGGAACCTCTGCCCGCTGCGTTCCAATCCGACGGCGATCTCCCTGTTCTGCTCCTCTGAGATCCCTGATCCCATGCTCCCAAAACAGAGAAAAACCACACTCCCGCCCGGTTGGCCATCCAGCCACGCAAGGCTTTCGTGTCGAAATTCGTTGCTGCTGTCTTTATCTTCCACATCGTTAGCTGTTATGGGACCGACGAAGTAGACAGGGGCCATGGGGCGGCCGGGAAAGCAGTCGCCATTAGCCAGAGCCCGAAGGGCCTTCGGCTCCAAAGATTGGAAGCTGTTGACGATAATTCCCGAGGATTTTGCAAGTCGCTCGAATTGAACGATCGCTGCTTTGTAGGTCTCGGAGGTTCGGTCCGAGATCCGGATCGGCATGTCTGACGCTGGGATGGGGCTTGGAAAACCAGGAAAGTGTATCGGGTTGTCACCAAGGTCCTTAAAACTGGCGTTCAATTGGTTGTGGAGAGTAGGGAGGTAGAGGAAGGCTGCGAGGTTGGAGGCGTTGGAGGCGAAAAAGTAGTAGCAAGGGAGATGGAATTCGTTGGCGACTTCAAGAGCAGCGTCGAAGAAGAAGTCGAGGATGATTGCGTGGGCTGATGAGGCAGAGAGGTAGGTTTTGAGGTAGGGGATGGTGAGGTGGAAGTGGTCGAGGAAGGTGGCGGTTTTGGAGTTGGAGGATTGGGGGACTGGTGGCAGCCGATGGAAGAAAATGTGAGGGTGGGCGGAGGAGACGCGGGAGATGTAAGAGTCAATGGGTTTGTTGTCAATGGAGGGGGACTGAGAGATGAGAATGGTGATGGAGATGCTGGCGTGGCGGATCAAGAGCTTACCCAGCTCCACCATGGGGTTTAGGTGGCCCATTGCAGCCAGGGGGAACATTATGATCTCCTTCCCCATCGCTTACAGGCAGTTCGGCTTCTTGCTTCCAATGAAAGCTAGCACGACGATCTCGCCGTGGAGTTGGTGTCATTTTATAGCTATGGAAGCCCCCACAAGTGCGCTGAGGTCGCCCACATGTTCCAGACTTCTTCTCTATCATTCGCTGTTATTTCGACTTGGTGGGGTACCTTCGTAGTCTTGCCAAATGTCCTGGGGAGCCACGGTTACTGACTGAGTCACGCCCATGGAGATTTTCTCTCCAAGAGCTTTCTGGAACGGCACTAGCGACGTGGACGTGGTGAGATGATACTTTAATATCTGAGAATTAGTAATCTAAAT